CCCACCACCACGCTTCCTTCTCCGCCTCCTTGGAGCTCCTCAACATCTGTCTGCTGGGCACACAGCTCTGCTCACATGCCATCACCCCTGCCGGTTCGTGGCCACCAGGTCACTGGTTCTGTGCACCTCGCAGGGCCTCCGCCACAGCCAGGTCCGTGTTGTATCAGCAGAGGGAGGACAACCGCGGCGCACCCACAACCCTCTCTCCAGCCCCTCAAGGGGAAATCAGACAGAGAACGGGCTCAACCCGCGACCTGGATGGCTTCCCTAGGTACCTCTCTTTACCTCTGTCATCATTTTTAAACTGAGCTTAATTCCAAAAGCAGATTAAGAAGCGGCTGGCAGTGGGCCATGTCGTTGAAGCCAGCAAAATCCAACCACCGCTCCTTGCAGAATTCTAGAGCCATTCTGGGGAAAGGAGAGCAGGGTGCACTGGGAAGATGGTCTGTTCCCTTGCCCTGGGGACACCAGTTCGCCGGCGGGCTCTCTGCCCAGAATGTGGAGGCCTGGGCGTGGAGCTGGAAGCCCGCAGCCCTGTGAGGACAGGTGTCGGTCACCCCTCCCCCTTACATGTTCTCAGTGCAGTGCTGGTCACATGCGTCCAGGAGGCTCTGGTTCAGCTCTTTCAAGCTGTCTATCTCGCTCTTCAGGCGTCGTTTGTCCTCTTGCCAGTCCTTCTTCGCACGGGTGAGCGACTGAAACACAGATCAACAATGTCCTCAACACCACGGGCCCCTGTGACTCCACTGCTGGGAAACTGCTCCCAAAAGGAGAAAAGGGCCACGTGCATGAACATGGCCATTTCGGCATGAGCTTCACCAGTCACAAGGACCAACACAGCCAATGACATGGGGATGGCCGAGTGCACCGGCCAGTCGGGCAGCCCTGCCCACGTGTGGCCACTGAGCACTGAAAACACAGCCAGTCTGAGCAGAGAGGCGCCATCAGTGCAAAATGTACAAGAGGCTCTGAGGACTTGACAGCCATTTTTAAAAAGAATGTAAAGTATCTCATTACGAAGCAGCCCAAAGGGTGTGGCTCAGGTGGTAGAGTGGCCCCCCATGCACCAGGAGTTCACAAAAGAGATGCCTGGTCAAGGAACACGCCCAGGATGAGGGGTTGATCCCCAGTAGGGGGCGTGCAGGAGGCAGCCCATCAGAGGTTCTCTCTCATCATTGAAGTTCCCATCCCTCTCTCCCTCTCCCTTCCTCTCTCTGACATCAGAAAAATAAATGCCGGGCTGGATAGGAATTCGGGGCTGAGGTTGCTCAACTCTCCACCCAGAACATCATCGGGCTGGAGTGGCGGGAAAGCCCAAGCTTTGGCTTCAAACAAACTGAGTTCAGACCCAACCTCAGAGGATGAGGATGGGCGCCAGCTCACAAAAGCATTGTGAGAATTCAGTGAGATGACACGGGGAGCACAGAGCAAAGAGCTCAGCCGCGAGGACAGAATGAAAACAGCACTTAGCTGCTTCCATGCAGGCCCCCCTCCCCCCCGCCAGCCCCCGGCCCTGCGAAAAGGAAAGGTCAGGCCCTAACCAGTTTAGCACAGTGGAGAGAGCATCGGACTGCGAACTAAAGGTCCCAGGTTCGAATCCGGTCAAGGACACATGCCCAAGTTGTGGGCTGGCACCCTGTGGGGGTGGTGCAGGAGGCAGCGGAACCACGATTCTTTGTCCTCATAGATGTTTCTATCTCTCTCTCCGTCTCCCTTGTTCTCCCAAATCAAGAAAAATAGATTTAAAAAATACCAAAGCAAAGGTTGGTGAGAGGTCTTTTCTAACACATCCCCACCAGCCAAGGTGCTTGTCACTGTTAAATGCCTCTGGCTTCCTCTCGGCCTCTGGGTGACATTCCCTCACAGTTTTTGGGCACAGATGCCAATGAGGACCCACTCGGACCTGGCTGAGCCCCAGGCTGTCAGCCCCGGGCTCAGGCCCAGTGTCCTGAGGCCCACCAGCCCCCGGCCTCACCTCACACTGCATGGTCAGCTTGGTGAGCAAGATTTCCTTGGGCCGTTGCTCCGCCTTCAGGTCTTGGTACTCGGCCTGACAGATCCGCATCTTCCGCTGCACCTCCTCCAGGGTGGCCTGCAGCTCCTGGCTGTGGGAGCGTAGCTCCTCCTGCTCCGCCTGAAGCAGCTCAGTCCAGGAAGTGAGCCTGCGGGTGGAGAGCCACACGGCGCAGGGCTCAGGAGCACTCCCAGCCTCTGTCCCATGTACACCTCCATCACACCCCCATCCTCTCTGGGCCTCAGGTTTTCCCCTGTGGAAATGAGGGCTGAGCACATTCAGAGGTTCTTAAACTGTGTCCGTTGGGGTTCTATGCAGCCACCCCGGCTGCCACACTCTGGGCTGGGACACAGGACAGGCAGGCTCGGACACAATTCAACAGAGCAGCCTGTGAAAAATCCTTCCCATGGAAGGCTTTGCATGTCTGCCTCCTTGGAAAAAGGGTTCTTCGACTGAAACACTTTTGAAAAACTTGGAATCAGACCATCTTTGCTCTGAAACTCTGCCTTTGCCCAGCTCTTCTCCCCAATTCCAAGTCCCTTTCTGATCCCAACTCCTGATACAAATAAGAGATTCTGGAGCATTATGTAAAGCCACTGACATCATCATCATCATTATTATCGGCATAATTACCCGACTGGCTTTCCAGGAGTAAGGGTTCTACCTGAAATCTCAATGACCAGAGGCTCATGGACTCCATGTGAACACAGATGGGCCCTGTGAGGCCCACACAGTCTCCGTGATTTAATTTAAAGTAATTAGTTATTCAATATTTCTAAAAATGTTCCGTTTCACATCAACATTCAGCTACCGAGATTCTGGGAGGGTGGGGAGAAAGCATCAAGCAAAGGCCCTGGCAGGGGCAGCTCAGCAGTGATAGCATCAGCCTGTGTCCGGAATGGTCACGGGTTGGATTCCCAGTGGCATGTCCCTGGGCTGTGGGATTGCTCCCCGGCATAGAGGGGTGTGTGCTGTAGGCATCCAATAGATGTGTCTCTCCCATCGCTGTTTCTCTCTCTCCCTCCCTCTCTCCCTCCCTCCCTGTCTCTCAGAAGGGCAATGGAAAAAGTATCCTGGGATGAGGATTAAATAATAATAAGAATAAAAAAGTAGAAACAAAAGGATGGCCTGGCAGCCCGGGTCCGCCCCGCAGCTGACCGCCTTCAGAGGGTGTGTATTCTCCACGAGGGCCTGCCCTGCCGCTGACAATCCCTCCCCACCTGCTGGACCTGCCTGGCCCCGCAGGCACCTGACTTTGTAGCCCCAAACATATTAAAACAAGGCTGTGCGAAGGAAGGCTTCACGTGGTCAGGCCACTGGGCTGAGACAAGACCTGGATTTGAGTCCTGACTGGGCCACTACACTCAGGACTGGCCCGAACAAGTTATTGAATCTCTCTGAGCCTCTTTCCTCATCTGTTTGAAAAGAAGGATACAAACACAGTCAATTCTCAGGATCCGCGGTATAATGTCCTATGGAGCCCCCGCGAGCACTGAGCAGTGTAGACTGCAACTGTCCCCACCAGTTCCTGTGAGTCTCTGGCCACATTTCTGTCAACCAATCAAGACATAAGGACGCTTTGTGCCATATGCTCACTGGGACAGCCAACAGCACCAGACCTCGGGCCTGAACGACCCTCATGTGCCACTCGGGTATTTTCCCTGAGGCCCAGCACAGCGTGCACTTGGACACTAGACAGCACTGCAGCACTCCATCTGGGGCCGTTTCAAACAGTGAAATCACCACCAAAAAGCAAGAGAAGAGGACTCCATGGCACTCAATGGACCACAGAAGGGATGCTCGTGTGCAGTGTGAGAGCTGAAACAGGCAGGAGTCAGAGGCCTTGTTCAACCGCAGCTGCAAATGTGCACATCAGGCGATTCCAGGATCTCGCCCTATGGACAGGCCCCTGACAGGCCATGGGGACCAATGGGGGGTGACAAGTGCATCTCAGCGAGGAGGTGAGTTCGCCAACAGGGAACGCGGGAATGATGGGGAGCAAGCATATGTCCTTCTGGAATGGCTGGTGAGAGAGGATGAAGATGCCCGTGCCCGACACAGTCATCACCATCATCCATGTGGGAGGGGCGGTCACCCACACCTGGACGATGCTCCATCCCAGCCACCAGCTGGAGGCCCTTCCCTCCTGACCATCAGCGTGACCGTGACAGGGCAGGTGAAAGGGCACCATTACCAGGGGACTCACCTGAGCTGAGCTCAGCGGGAGCTGAGGGAGTTGGTGTGACTGAAAGGCGGCAGATGCTGCTGCAGGGGCGGGGCGGTTACCTTTCATTCTCTTGCCGCAGCCTCTCCTTCTCTCCGTTGTTCTCTCTGGCGGCGGCAAGGGCCTTGGCCTCCTGCTCCTGCTTCAGGGCCTCCTGGACTTCAGGAACCTGCTTCTCCTGCTCCCCCGGCTCCTCCAGCTCCCTCTCCTCGGCCCCCTGTTGGTTCTGGGGGCCCAGACTGGAAGGTTCCTCCTGCCCAGAGGGAAAAGGTGAGGATGCCTCACTGGGTGCAGGCCCCGGGGAGCAACAGACCCCGTATCCCTGCACCCCCACACGCAGTGAGGGGCCAAGAGCAGGGCAAGTGCAGACCCCAAAAGAGCAGGGACCCTCGGGGCAGGCAGCACCAGCCGTGCTGAGTGCGGTTCTCCCAGCACTGAAGGAACTGCGCTGGCCGGGCCCACATGGTGCTACGGGAGCCCTGCGCCCTCTCCACCCTCGGGACCTTTAGGGGCACAGGATGCCCGCTCTCTGGATCAGCTCCTTGGCTGCCCTCTGTGACCACATGTAAAAGCCTCTTTTTTAAAAAGGACATAGAGATCAACCAAAGGACTTATATGCAAGCATATAGGCCTAACCAAAGGACACGGACAACACGGGGCTGAGAGCATGAGTTCCCTCCCCCCACCAATAGGGGGTAATGTGGGGATATGGACACATAGGTAATAACTTAATCGACTGTGGTGGCTGGTAAGCAAGGAGGCATGGAGGAGTGCGCTTGCCTCTGTGGCTTGGGCTCTTCGCGGGGATGTGGGTGTCCTCAGGAGCGCCAGGGCCCGGCTGAGATGGCAAAGGCCAAGGGCAAGTGGTGTCCTCAGAAGAGCCAGGGCCAGGCTGAGAAGGCAGCGGCCGAGGGCAAGCAGGCCCCAGCAGAAAAGCACCTCGAGGCGGACGCCGCAGCGGGGTGCTGGGTGGGGAGTGGAAGAATCGCGAGCCCCAGGCCGCCCCCGCACTGCTCGCTGCAGGACCTGCGGGTGGAGATGCTGGTGGTTATCTTGGCCTCGCTCCCCGTCACCGACCTGGCCAGCCTGGCCCAGGTCTGCACCAAATTCCGCCTCATCCTGCACATCGACCACATCTGGAGAAGGCGCTGCCGGGAGGAGTTTGGCGTTTGTGAAACCTTGCAGAATCTGGAGGCAGTAGGTACGTCTTACCGAGAAGTCTATGCGAAGCTGTTCCACCCAGACAGACACATTTTGGGTTTGTGGGGGCGAGATATTGAGCTCTATAAAACACTGCTGTATGTAGCGGTGGACGTCTTCGGCATTACTGGTTGGACGTACAGGCCTTGTCTTAACACCCATGTGGACGGCCCAATGCAATTCAAGCCCGCGTTCCGAATCCGCCTGACGGAGCGGAAATCAGCCACGGTGGAGTGCACGGAAGGCCACCACCGCAGGCCCCACAGCCGCCACCTGCAGATTCGGAAGGACAGGCTCACCAGCCAGTGCCAGAAGAGAGACCACCGAAGGGATTCACCGACGCGGCTTAGGGAGGAATTCGGGACGGCGGGCGCTGATATGGAATGTCACAGTGCGGCATCACTGCCGGACCTACCGCAGCCTCTACCTCCCGCCCAGCCACCCGGACGACCTCATCAGGCCAGGCCTCTTCCAAGGCAAATGCGATCGGATCGCTTGGGCCTCATGATTTTTATGCTCGGCTTCCACGGGAAGTGTGCCAGGCTCACGCACATCACGGGAATCGCATCCCACATATTAGAGATCCACCTCACGCCCCGCATCCAGCTGCGAGATGGCAGAACTGCCGCGACTTCCACGAGCTCTCCCGCCTGGTCCGGGAGATGGAGGAGCAGGTGCTCTGGGAGCAGAAGCAGCAGCAAGAAGACGGGACCAAGGAAAGCAAGGGCCATGGCTGGCAGAGCCCTGCCCAGCCCAGCGTCGGGGAGTCCTGGGCTGCAGCTGCAGAGGAGCAGCCTGCCCCCTTTGTTCTGCCTGTGGGCGTGAGCCCAAGGGACCAGAACTACCCCCGGACCTGCAGGATGTGTTTCTATGGCGTGGAAACTGTTCCCGTATGTCCCTCAAACTGGCGCTACCCTGGAGTCGTCATCCTGTTCGATGAGAACCACTTGGGGTTCATCGATCTGGAGGAGAAATCCTTCATCCTGTTTGGCAGAGTCCAGAACACCTTCCAGAATGTGGAGGCAGCATACCCGCAGGCCTTCCTGGAGATGCTCAAGAACATTCACCCCGACCACGTTTACCACCCGAGAGGATAGTTGATGTTTAGAGAGAGTGGGGGAGAGAGGGAAAGAAAGAAAGAATCGATGTGAGAGAAACACATCAGTTGGTTGCCTCCTGCCCAAGCCCGGAACAGGGCCAGGCTAGGTAGGGGCCAGCAATTGAGGTCGAAATAAACCTTAAACCAGTGGTTCTCAACCTTCCTAATGCCGCGACCCTTTAATACAGTGCCTCATGTTGTGGTGACCCCCAATTTCATTGTTACAAATTGAACATAATAAAAGCATAGTGATTAATCACACACAAAAAATAATAACTTAATCAATAAAAATATTTTAAAAATAAAAGAAAAAGAAAAAGAACATAGAACAGCAGTCAGGATACAGAATATCTGAACAACACTAGCAGCCAACTGACCCTGATCTTTACGGAACAACCATCGAATGGGCACAGCCAGCAGCACCGCCCTCTTCCTCCCCTCAGTCCTGTCAACCACCACCAAGATGGCCAGTGTCCCTGGGAGGCAACACCTGCCCCCGCGGCCGGCAGCGGCTGAGAATTGCTGGTCTGAGCTGCAGCTGAGCGAGGGAACTGGTCACCCAGGAATCGCTGATCAATGACCAGGACAGGGCTGTGATCCCGGAGGCTCCCTCGGGCAGGCGGGGGCGCCAGGGGGGCATGCGCTCTGGAGGGCCTACCTGCGTGGCCCTGGAGGGCCTCACGGTGTTGGCGATGTTAGACTGGAGTTCTCCCTCCAGCTCTTCCTTTTGGCTGTTGGCCTTGTCCTGGGTGAGTTGGGTCCCCAACTCTTCCAGCTGCAGAGCCAAAGACCCAGCCCGTGCCACAGTCAGGTCACAGAGTGAACTTGGCTTGAGAGCAAACCCCAAACCTGTCACCCCACGGGACACCTGGCCACCGGCTTGCCCGTCTATTCCGGACACCGCCCACTGTTACCTCTTTCCGGAGCTGCTGGTTCTCCTCCTCCAGCGTCTTTACTGTGCCCCGGAGGGCATGGGTATTCTCCTCCAAATCAGTGATCCGCGTGCAGGCTGAAGAGCAAAGTGGAGTCAGAGCCCAGCTTCCAGGGCCTCCACTTCCCCTCTCTGACTCTGGCCCCGAGAGGACCATCCCCCCAGACGGCCACCCCCCCACCCCGAGGCCAAGGTGTGAGGGCCGGGGATGGTCAGCTGGGTGTCGTACACAAGGTGCTGCCGCTGTTGGTTGTGGCCCCTGTGCTGGCTCAGCTGGGGGCCGGTAGGGGAGCCATCCAGAGCTTAAGAAGAAGGCAGGTGACCGTGGAGAGGCCAAAGCAGAAGTTCAAGACGGTGGAACTGCTGGAACCACTTTTGACCGAGTTCTAACCTGACTGTCTAGTCAAGGATTTCAGAGACTCACAGAGACGGCAAAGACATGGCATGGTCCGGGCCAGCCGTCAGAGTGGGGGGGTCTGGGTGGCTCAGCTGGGGAGTGGGAGGCACGGTAATTGACCAGTATCCCTGCGGGGCCTAGCGGATCTGGGGCGCGTGTGTCAAGGACTTGCCACCCGTGGGTGAGGTCCTTCGGGAGGAGAGGTCACTGAGCAGCCCCTGCCCAGGGAGACAGAGAGCAGACTGCACCCATCTGCCCGAGGAGGACATGAACGGAGGAAATCAGCCCAGGCCTCTGTTATAATGCAGGTGAGTGAGCACTGGGGAAGCTCCTGCCATCCAGAGCTTTCAATCCCCCACGGACAGGTCTAAGACAGCCTCTGGGGCCAGCGTGCTGTCATCTGGAAGCTCCCGGGACTGTCCCCACGGGCGCTGAGAAATCTGAATCAACTTACTTGTAGTTCATGTCCTGACTTTGAGGCTGCCAGGCCCCTCATGTTCCCCTTGGGGAGAATGGCAATGAAACGGTCCCAAATGGCCCCTGAATCACACCCTACTGACTTGGGCTGAGGTGGGCTGACCCAGGAGATTCAGAGCCAAGGGCTCAGCTCCCTGGGTGAGGGAGAAGCCACAGCCAGGCTGGCTCCCCGGCGCCAGGGGCTGCTGCCTACCTTCTATCAGCAGCTCCAGCTCCCAGCTCAGGTGGGCGGGCTGGTTCCTCCTCTGGACCTGTTCAGCCTCGAGGGCCATGATGTCCCCCAGCAGCTCCTCAAGGAACTGCTGGGGGATGTGTCCACGATCCTAGTGCAGGAAGAGGGGTGGGGTGAGGATGCGCACCATGGAACCCGCTGGCCTGCCCCGCCCCAGTGCAGCTACCCTCATTCCCCAGGATGAAGGGCCTCCATGCACCTGCTCCCTTCCTAGAGCACAGCTGCACAGAAGGGACTCCAACACAGGGTCCTGCTGGGAGACCTACAGCCACTAAAAGACATGCTGACCCAGTGGTAGGTGATGGAGACCCATGAGGCCTCTGTGGTGTCTGAGCAAAGTGACGCACAGCACAGGGCTGTAAAGCAGGTGACAGGAGGACGGGCGGCTCTCAGGCCCCTTAGCTCGTTTACCATGTCTTGGAAAGGCCGTAGGGACTCCCAAATCACAGCTCGGCCCACATCCTAGTTGCCAGCAGAGACCCTTATTGCCAGTCACCCACCTACATCCATCCTTTCAGAAAGAAACACAGCAGTCAGGCCCTATCCGTTTGTTTGGTTTTTGTTTTTGTTTGTTTGTTTGTTTGTTTGTTGTTTTTTAACATCCTATAGAATAAAAGCCTAATATGCTAAGTGTCCGGTCATCCATTCAACCAATGAAAGCATAATACACGAATGATATGCTAAGGCCACTCAACAGCTTGCTATGACGTGCACTGACCACTGGGGGGCAGACGCTGCAACTGGCAGGTTGGCTTGCTGCTGGGGTCTGGCTGATTGGGGCTGAACTAGACAGGCCTGACATGCCCTGGGGCCCTCCCAGGGCCCCTCCCCACTAGCCAACCTCCTGTGTCCCTCCCCGCCCTCATCATACACCAGTGGAGTCCCACTGCCTCGCCTATGCCCTCTCGCAATCTGGGACTCCTCAGGGGCTGTCAGAGAGCCAGTTTCAGCCGAATTCCCTTAGGCCAGGCCAAGGGACCCCAATTGGGCATGAATTCGTGCACTGGGCCGCTAGTGTATATATATAATTTCTTTTAAATATACTTTTATTGATCTCAGAGAGGAAAGGAGAGGGAGAGAGAGACACATCAGTGATGAGAGAGAATCATTGATCGCCTGCTTCCCACAAGCCACCCCTGGGCATGGAGCCCACGACGTGCTCATTGGCCCGGCCAGGCAGGCCCTGTCTCTTTTGAGGGCCTTCACTGCTGCCCACTTAAGCCACTGAGCTTAGCATATGACTCTTCGCTGGTAGCAGGTCACTGTGTCGGCAGCAGCCCCCGCCCAGTAGCAGAAAATCAGAGAAGGGCACCACATAAACCTAAAGCTGCCCCCATCTGTTGAACACAGGATGTGAGAGTGTATGACATGTACAGCCTCGTCTGGTTGGGCGAGCGCACCTGCTGACAGGTGCGGGACTTCCCTGAGCCCGTTTCCCTAACTAGGAAGGGGTGGGGCTAAGATCTATCCCGGGTGTGAGGGCTGAGCCTCGGCCTCTCAATTCCACGGCCACTCCGCTGATCTGGGAGCTGGAAATAAATGGCTGTTCCGGTGAGTTTCTGTTCAACACCCAGTTCCGATGGGAACAGGTCTCACACAACCTCTTGGAAAACCAACAGCCCTGGGCAGTTTCCCGGAAATGAGGGCTAAGGCACAGCAAACGGTACTATGGGCCCTTGGGTGTCAGGCACATGCTGGGTGTGGGACGCCATGGCTGGTCCCTGGCAGGCCCCCTCAGGGGAGGAGTCCGAGGGGCCTATTCAGGTCCCAGGGCCCAGCACACACGGGGAGCCGGTCAGCTCTTTCCCCTCATCTCTGCTCCCGCCCAGGAGCCCTCCCAGAACCACTGGGATGAGTCTCCCCGAGCGCCTTCACAGTTTGGGAACACGCATGCACCCAACATGTCCCTTGCTCTCGGTGGCAGTTTCCCAATGCTGGCCCCACACATGGTTCTTACAACTGGGAGTGGGCGGTAGCTCCTGCTTTTCCATCTCGTGTTCACTTTCCCGGACCGGCCAGAACACAAGGTTCTTGGTAGTAGGGAAGCCGTGGACCTGCCGCCAGTGGACACGGTTCTGGTCAAAGCCTGGCAGCGGGAAGGGTTTGCTCACAGACTCGGGAGTCACCTCGACACCGTCTCTCTGCCCATCCCCGGCCCTGGGCCAGGTGCCCTCTGTCCTTGCACAGTCACTCCTCACAAGAGCCCTGAGGGAGAGGCAGGGACAGTCCCTTCTCACACAGGAAGAGGCTCTGCACTCACCGACTCTACGACCACCGACTCTTCTTAGTCCAACTCTTCACAGCGACTCTTCACACACTGACAATTCACACCGACTCCGCACCACCAACTCCGCACCACCAACTCCACACCCACCGACTCCGCACCCTCCAACTCCACGCCCACCGACTCCACACCTAACATTCCACTGTCTCCATGGCCCCCCAACCAAACTGCTCTAGGCCCAGCATTCCAAACGGCTCTGCCAGAGGCTCATGCCCCATGCCAACTGCTTTAGGAATACGCAAAAATTAGGACACTCTCCCCATGAAGATTAAGATCTATCTGGCACATAAAATATAAAGAAACATAAAGGTGATGTTTATAGATCCTATACCAGTATAAATGGTAATTAACCACTTCATTCTGATATGTCTGTCTATGTTTCAAAAAATTATTTTTTCCCATCAGCCACATTACAGAAATTTGATTCTTTCCTTTCAGGGAACTACACAATCATTTTATTTTGTGAAGTCTTACCTACAGAGCCCAGCTCGGAAATTCTCACCATCGACTGTCAATAGTTCATACATAAGACCCCTCAAGTCCACCAGTCAATTGCCTAGAAAACAATTTGACAGACCACTCACTAATGTGTAGTTTATAAGAAAAATGAACAAAGTAAAGCTATATATTTGAGAAATATTTTATATACATATATATTTTTAAAAATATATATTTTA